AATTGCCTTCCTTGGAAGAGCATCATGGATGAGTCCTGGGGACGGTTTTCCTGATGTTCTGTGGAGCAGGTATTCTAAAATCTCCCTCACATTCACTGTAGAGGAGAATTTGGGTAGGGCCGTTTCTTCACCGCTGTGGTCGTTAATCACTTCTGTGATAGAATTCCAGGTCTACCAGAGCCTTTGGTGTGTTCCTTATATTCTCCACTGTTCCATTTTCAGCCTTTCAGTCACGTCAGAGAATGTGTCATTTTAACTCCTTGGGTATTTCTGCTCCCCTCACGGCTCACTGATAAAGTTAACATATGAAAATTTTACAGAATTCATTGTGACCCTGTGGATGGCTCGTAAATCCTGTCAGTTCTAGGCAGCAAGTTAGGCCGGACAGAAAGAGACATTGTGGGGGGAATTCAGGAATTCTCTGCACTCATGTAAAAAGAAGGCGATTTCCCTTCCCAGTGCAGGCTGAACGCTGTGGTTAGGGCCCAGCTCACGATTCACCTTAGGAGCAGGAAGGCTGAAATGTTCCTCCACCGCCTTGCCCCAGAAATCACAATTTATGCTTCTAATTTTTAATTTTCCTTAGCTTAGGTCCCAGAAGGATTAAAGTCACTTTGTGGAACCCATTAACTCTAAACTGAATAATGATGTTACTCTAGGCTTAGGATCCGTTTATAGCAAATTTGCTACATACAAGACTCTTAAGAATCTTCTATTCCTCCATGACGGAGTTTTAAGTCTGTGCATACATGAAAAGGTTTACTCAGTTTACCTAAAAGTGATTCATAATTAACTGACATCAAGAGACCATGCTTGCAGAGGTGGTGAATAGCAAACGAGAACTCTAGCGAGACAGGATGTTCGTCACGTGGCTTAAATTACAAGTCAGGAAACTCGAACGGCTTATCACTGTGTCTATGGGACTCTGGGTTAACTCTGTACTTCAAGTGGGTAATAATGACTTATAACTAATTTTTAATTTTTTCATTGCCTTGGTAGGATGACCAAAGCTGAATTTGTAAACCACTTAGGGAAAACGTAGATAAATAAACATGTGCGTGTATGCAAATCGATGGTCTTTCTTTGATAAATCTTTTTAGAAGTGAGGAAGTCATTAACATCGCATGGCAGACTTTCTCATTGAAGGTGAGGCAAGGTGAGGAGCTGGAAATATGGGCAGGTGGTGGGGAACTCAAGACACGTGCTCTGTCGGAGGGCCTGGGGCATCTTTATATATTGAAAAACGCTTGTCAGGACTCTGATTTATGGCAGCTTTGGAAAGACCCATGCCCTGAGGGCCTGGTGGTGGCAAGGCATGTCCCTCGTATTTCCTGGGTGGTGTTACCGGCAGGGGGCTTCCCAGGTGGCACCAGTGATAAAGATGCGCCTGCCGACGCAGGAGAGATGAGACATGGCCTTGATCCCTGAGTTTAGAAGATCCCCTGGAGGAGGGCGTGGCAACCCTCCAGTATTCTTGCCTGGAGAATCCCATGGAAAGAGGAGCCTGGAGGGTTATGGTCCATAGGGTCGTAAAGAGTCGGACACAACTGAAGCAACTTAGCACGCACACAGTACTGGGAGTCTGTGGGATACAGAGGGGGGCTACTAGCTGACAGGGCATCTCTGTTCACCTGGGTTTGAGCCACTTCTGTGAACTTGGGCAACTCACTCACACGTCTCTAAGTGTCTTCCGGCTCCCACTTCTGGAATTTGATGCATTTCACGAGGTGCTGGAGTCAGCTCCCCACTTGGAAGGAAAGTGGGGTGGAATCCGGGTACCAGAGGACTGGGAAGAGCTCTATGGCCTTTCAGGGCTGCCCCGTGGGTGGCTTGCCTTTACCCTGCAGGAGCGCAGATAGCGCCCCAGGAGGGCAGGGGGCCAGATTCTGGCCCAAGGGGACCTCCTTCTCCTCTGAACTCGGGCAAGCGTGCTGCTGTGGCTTTGGCCACAGACAGCGCCCTCCCGCTGCCTCTTTTGGAGTCCCCCATTTCTAGAGCATCTCGCATAACAGATTTCCTGCTCAGCGGGGGAGAGAAGCAGCTTCATTTGGGAGCAGGCCAAGACAGAAGGAGAAAGAAAAGGTGGTCCACAGAGAGGGTGGTGGGCATGGTTAGGGCGGCATCAAAGACAGAAACCTCCCATCATCTTTAAAGTGCTTGGGGACTGGTGTTTAGAGCAGGCGTCGTACGTATGTGCGGGTCCGACACTTAAAACCACTTCCCAGGATTATGTCATGTGTGCGGCACGTTAACATCTGAAGGAGCATCTCACAGGAGGCGGCAGGGGTGTATCCCATGCCCAGAAAATTCTGCTACAAAGAAACAATTTTCACCTACATTTTTCTCTGCATTCATTCAGACATGACCTCTGGGGAAAGCGATGTGAAAAATGAAAGCAGCAATTCGCATGTGTTTTTCTGCCTCCCCCCGCCCCCCCCCCCATTTGAGGGTTAATCTCTAATAACGAGGAGAAAAAAAAAAATAGACCCTTTGGCTGAGTGGAGTGACCTGATTCTTCCTGGATCAACATGTTATCAGGTTGAGGTTGTCACTACAAAGCAAGTATGATGAAGCCTGCCTTTTCAGACTAAAATCAAAGCCTTGGCCAGCCAGGCTGAAACTGCTGATCTAAGCATCCCCTAATCAGGCGGTCTATATGTAGATTTAGACATCTCCAGGAGGCTAGGAGACTATCAGGCCCAAACTGATTATTCTAATCAAGTGTTTTAATTAAGCACTATTGCCAGAATCACAGGAACGGGGCCTGCTCTCAAGGAGTAATGGGCAGCATCTTTTTCCTTCTTCTTCTTCACAGTGATAAGGTTTGGCTTTGTAAGGGTACATTTAATGTTTTTTCTAAAGTAGGCCATGGAAAGAGTTTCCTGTGAATTGCACACTAATGAACAGGCTGTCTGGCCGGCAGACACCACAATTAGAAAAGAAAAGAAAAGGTATGATCAACTGGGTTGCAGACGAATCAATACCCCGACAACTGCATCTATTTGCATCTTCCACCCCCAAAACACAAAAGGAATCCTGGCTGGCCCAAGATATTTTTAAAAAATATATATAAAACACACACACATTGGGTTGGCTTTTATTGGAATGCCTAGATGCAATCTATAGTCATCAAGTTATGGAAAATTCAGGTCACATATAAAGTTAAGAAGGCAAATGAAAAGAACAATACAAATCAGACAAAATTTACATCTCAAAATATCATGAAAGCATTTTGACTGGCTTTGCCTAAAATACTTTGAATATCAATTTCTTTTTTGTAAGCTAATTCTTTTCATTATACAGCCCCTTCCCACCCTCCCAACTCTTAGAAAAAGGTCTTTTGTTTACATATTCCCCAAGGTCACTATTTCTTGTAAAAGCATGTCCAGATCACAAGTCTTTTTAGAGAGAAATAGGCTCATTATACCCACTAACAAGACACTAATTGGGTTGATTTGACCTCACCTAAAATAAGCACCAGGAGAAGACTCCATATCTGTTATTTATCGGTGCCAGTGTGAAGGACCAGTCCATGTCAAGAGGAGGGTAAGTTATGATTTCACTTCTGTCATGTGGTACAAGCTTTTTTTCATGGTCAATACATCTGAAATATTTCTGAGAATTTAGACTCAGAGCCTATTTCAACCAAAAGTACTTACAGCATGCTAAATACAGCCCTGCAGAAATGCAATGGAACAGAACTGCAAACACCTAAGTTAACAGTTAGAAAATAAAATGTAAAACAGAGCCATGTTTATGTGGTTTGAAATCTCAAGAGTTGTCTAAACTGGGGCTTCATAATACTCGCCAGAGGATTTCCAGGATAAAAAATATTACTGCTAATCTGTGCTTTCATTCTAATAAAATATCAGCATTCATTAGAAGATTAATTACTTCGGTATGCTCTACCAAATACACAAAGACAGTAATAGCACTGATACTGTAAATTCAGTAGCTATTTTGAAACTTTCCCAGCCCATCTGTTTAATAAACACGCCTACTGTGCAATTTAGAGTACGTGATACATACAAAGCAGTTAGAAAATTAATTTTCAGTACATCACTTGAACCTTTATATTTACGACATGTTCACTTGCTATGTTTTATCACCATTATACATAGAGGAAAACAGTGTGTACTATAGCTCAATGAACTGAGAAAGGTTTTCTAAAAATATTTTTGTGGCTGAATTTAGTGCTCACGAAAGAGACGTGCCAGAGCGGCTGAGCCGCAAGGAAGTGCAGATGCTCGGCGCGCCGGCACGCGGGAGGCAGGAGGGCACGGCTCTCAGTTCACTTCCAGCGGATCCGCCACCCCCAGCTTCCCCGAGACGCAGCGGAGGCTGCCATTCAAACCAGCTCCGAGCTGGCTGGGTCGTCTGGGCTTACAGGAGCTTTTGATCTCCCCTTTATGTCCCTCTTTGTGACCTGAGGGTCCAAACTCGAGACTAGCTGAGTGACCCCGACCTTCCCTGTCTGGGTGTCTCACTGCTGCTCGATTTCTGCTAGCTTGCCGAGATCTTAAGATATGTTTAAGGTGATGACTAACTACATCAGTTCCTTTCCTGCTCACAAAGCATCTGATGGGGGTCTTGCGCCTCCATCATGAAAAGAAGCTTCAAGGAAGGTAACAGGAAAACCCTGGGGTTAATGGTATCAACTCCCCCATAGACTTTTTAGGGGCGGAGGGAGGAACAATGCCTCCTGCCCTGTTTTATGTATTTTTGGGTTTGTGTTTCGTGGCTTCTGTTACATTCCACCAGCCTTAGTTTTCTACTGTGCCTCTTAGCTGATAATGGTCGAGGACACTGGCCTGATGAAAAAGAGAAGGAAGAGAAAGGAGAAGGTCTCTGATTAGCCACCCATGGAGAATCGCACAGTCCTATCCATCTAGTGATAGAAAGTTGCACGTTTTTTTTGTTTGTTTTTCAACCTAATACAAAAATATTAACACTTCTGGACATTATAGGCATAAGTCGTTATATCTCTACAATATAATAATTTATACTGTACAGTTATAACAGATAACAAAAGGTGCAATCCTTTTAAAAAAATCACACAGTTCACATGTTTTTATCATTTTATTTTTTAAGTATAAACTTTTTAAACACTTTACATAAATTAACTCCTCTGAGACTAATATCTGATGTACAGTAAATTGTAATTCATATAAAAATCCATAAACAACTTGTCTCACATAATTTACAAAAAAATCAGGGTTTCCTTTGCTTATCAGTGACAAGGATTCTATGCCAGTTTTCTTCCCCCCAAGGCAAACCACATGAGCATTGTGAAATTCCTTAGAAATCCCCGCCCTGGCAGCAGAAGTCACGTGTGCCAATGTCCTTTTACAAACCAGCACTGGGGAAGCAGTCGGGTTGTCTAGAAACAGTAACTTTGCCCCACATTTTAAAATTAACAGATACATATCACATCCTATGCAGAGAGACTACTTCTTGTAAGCAAAGGTCGACAACGGTAATACCTGGAAACACTGTATGCATTTCTACCTTCGTTAGATACAGTGCCTCAGAGAACAAGACGGCCCAGAAGCAAAAGGTTTGGGCCTCTCTTCTTTAATGATCTGTTTTTCCTAGGAATACTTTCAGTCCAACTGAGTGCAGCGATATGCATATGTAAACATATTCTTTAAAGCCGATCACCTTTTAAGGTCATTCAGAAGGAAGTCTTTTGTTTTCATTTGATTTCTGTGTGTGTGGATTTTTTAAAATAGCAGTCTAGTTCTCCCGGAAGGCTCTTCGGTGCCGCAGAGTCCCCCTCGGATTGTGCTACAGACAGATCTGAGCAGAGGTGGGGGAGTAGTGGGGGTGCTGGGGCCGGAGGGGCAAGTGGCGCCCCGCCGGCTCGGGTCCCCGCAGGGGTGGCGGCGGCGGCGCGCGCCTCCCTGCCGCCGGCCCGGGGGTTACCTCTTCCCGATCTCGCTCTGGCGGAGGAACTGGATGTTGTTGGCGCTGTCGGCCAGCTCGGGGTACTGTTCCACCGAGAGTACGTAGTAGCCGTCGTAGCCCTGCACCTTGCCGGCGCTCAGCAGCTGCCGCTTCTCGCCTTCCGTCCAGAGGCGCGCGCCCTCCTCGCCGTCACGCACGCGCTGCTGCTCGCGCGCCCAGGCCCGGGCGAGCGCGCGCTGCCGCGCCTGCTCCAGGATGCGCGCCTTCTCCTCGTCCAGGGTCATGCCGTAGCGCACGTGCAGGGCCAGCGCGCCGAACTGCATCTCCACGTCGGCGAACCTGCGAGTCCTGCCGTTGACCACGGTGGTGGACTGCGACACGGTCACGTTGATGCCGTTCTCCAGCGCCTTGCGGCCGCTGGTCAGCCGCAGGGTGCCCAGGTCGCTCTCCGGCGTGCTGGTCTTGATGAAGTAGTGCGTGTCCTTGCCCTCAATGGTGAAGTGCAGGTTCTCCAGGTAGAAGGCGTTGTTGAGCACGGCCGCCACCTTGATGCAGTCCTCGTTGGCGATGTTCAGCACGTTGGTCTGCACGCGGCCCTGGCTCACGGCCAGCATGACGCCCTTGCCGATCAGCGACTTCACCGTGGCGAACCACAGCCACGACGGTGCGCCGCTGCCCTTGCGCCTGCTCACCTGCACCTCGGCCATCCTCCCCAGGGACAGGAAGGCCTTGGCCTGCCTCGCCACTTGGTGCTGGACTCCAAAAACGGGCTGCAGAGAGAAACAGACCCGGAGGATGGGTTAGCGAACAGTTGGGCTCTTCTGGCCCCAGGGAGCCAGGCTCCCGGGCCGTGTTCAGGTTCTGCGCAGAAATGAAACACGGGGAGTTGGCGGGGGGGGGTGCCTTGCTGATTAAAACCTCAGTAGGTTCTTTAGAAATGAAAAGGCTGAAAAAACCCTGGCGGGAGGAATGCACTCAAGACGCCAGTCCCCTCAAGTTGATCCCAAAGTGTTTCGAAAGGTAAAAAGAGGTAACTCCATCCTATATTTTGTGTCAAGAGCTCTAAGTTTCTGATGTGGGTGAAATGGGCTTCCCTGGTGGCTGGGTGGTAAGGAATTTGCTTGCAACGCAGGATTTACAGGAGACATGGGTTCAGATCCGTGTGTCGGGAAGATTCCCTGAAGGAGGGCATGGGAACCCACTCCAGTGTCCTTGCCTGGAGAATCCCATGGACAGAGGAACCTGGCGGGCTACAGTCCGAAGTGTCGCAAAGCCGCCTACAAGACGGAAGCGACTTCGCCCGCACGCATGCCTGAACGTGGGTGAAATGTTCAGGTTTTTGCCTTTTCTCTTTCCATTTCTAGGTGCCCTTTTCCCAGGCTCACCTCATTTGGGGAACCAGCTTACCAGATGGTCCATTCCAGCAGCTTTCTCCATGGGAGGCTGGTGAGAAAGTGCCAAAACGCAGAGGAAGGTTGGAAAGCCTGGGGTGCTCCAGGTGCATCACCCAGTCCCGCTTTAAGCTAAAGTCCCACTTTAAAGCACACGCCTTTAATTTACTTACAGGCGTGTGCTTTAATTTAGGTAACTCTGTACTGTCTCCTGGTGAGCAGAGCTTTCAGCTGAATTTGACCATATAATTGACGGACTGAAATGGGCCAGGATGAGCGCACAGTGGGGACAGCTGTCAACGAGTGTTTATCGCTTTAGGAAAACATTTATTTTTCGCAGACTGAGGGACAGTGGGCCTTCTGCATTCACAAGGGTTTTAAATTAGGGGCATCTTAACTCGGGCATCTCTCAGACTACCAGATGTTCGTCTGGCCAGCATTTTCCCCAATTGGAAGCATGTGTTTTGTTTGCAGCGGTGAAAGACACATTTGTTTTTCTGCTCTCCAGGCATCCTTGATGTCTTTGCTGGCGATTCCCTAAGCTGTCCTTATGGTGCACTTCTCATGTCAGAGAACCTGAACTGTATGGAAAAGGCTGCCTAGGAAAAAAGTTGGCAAGTCCATTTGTACAGTATGACTTAAGTGTTTTCAGACATGTTGGAAAGTCATCTGCAATTATTATGTGCTCAAAGGCATTAACAAACTTAAGGATGTCTTCATGGCAGTTGATCAGCGCAGGTATATTTGCAATCAGAAATGTTAAAATGGCTCCCAGATCCCGGAAACTGAATGGGTTTTGCCTTTTAAATGTAAAGGTGATATCTGAAAAAGGAATAGCTTTTATGTTAAGTATGAAACATGGATGGACCAGAAAGCAGAGGTACTGGCGTTGTGTGTAACTCCATGTGTATGTGTGTTTTAGCCAGGATTGCCTTTTCTTTTTGTGTCCATTGAGATTATAGGAAATTGCTCAAGAGGGGAAATTAATCTTTCTAAGAAACTCTGTGCTCCCTTCTTATCATTATGGGGTAACCCAATTTCGTGATCTTTAATTATTCTTGCTTTAAGCTAGAAATTCTGATATTTTGTTGTTGGGTTCCTTTCTGATCTCTGAATGGTGAGAATTAAAAAGTGTCATTTTGTGAAATGGCAGCTTTGATTTTGCAATTTTCCATTCTTTCTCCTTTTATTTCTCAGAATGGTTCCAGGCCTCCTGGTCTGTTTGTTTCAGGAAAATTCCATAAACACCTAGTGGTAGGTGGAGCTTTACCAGAGGCCATTTTATTTTTAATCTTTTTCCCTTGAAAACATGGCTAACATTTTAAAGAAGTGGAACTTTGTGGCATTGTTTGTGAGCTGCTAATTTGTAACATGAATTCCCTGCCCTCCTGTTTATTGTATCTTTGCCTTAAGGTCCCAAATCTTATAAATGTGCATTCCTGGGGTTCTCTGTAGAAACCTTGCACTCATCAATGAGCTTTCATATTTTATTACTGTTTGATAATGTCTTTCTGTTTTTATTAGCATCACTAAAAGCAGACTGAAGCCTGTTTCACAGGCCCCTGGTCTGCTGAACAGAAATGCAAGAGAGAAGTGGTGCTTTCTTTCCTGAATCAAAAAAAAAAAAAAAGGTCTTTGGTACCCAGGGAGTCTGATTAAACAGGGGACCAAACAGCACAAGCAAGCCCCTTGTCACCTTTCATAGTTTCGCTTTTTGTCTCTTACCGGGATATCATCCCACTGCTGACTCTTCACGAGTTCGTAAGAAGGCTCCGTTAAATCAAATTTGGGGACAGGGAATCCAGGAATAGCATTGTGCAGATGGAATCCAAAGGTCACCAGCCAACTGTTAACATCTGGGAAAAGAAGGTCCAGAATCAGAGACTCCCGAGTTTACTCTGTGATTTCCGACACCGAAAGCCTTACCTGAAAACCCCACCTTCACAAACGATAACCTGAAAAAGAGCTCAGGTTTGCCTCTGCCCTACAATGAAAAACTGACTCTCTTCAGACACGGTAAAAATAACTTCAGTAGCAGAAGGCTACAGACAGTGTGGATAATAGAGACTCACTTAGACCGATGGGTGCCCGGTCCCACGTGGGAAGTTGCAACCTGTTGCTGGTAATAGTGTTAAAAAAAAAAGTCGAATAACAATGCCTAGCAGCGTGAAAGAGACATGGTTGTTGAACACAAATAACATCTGTAGTTAGTGAAGGCTGGTCTTAACTAGAAGTCCTGTGTTATTAGCTTTCCAGAGTGGCTAGCCAAGGATATGCAAGTTTCCACAACCCATTTTCTATTAATAAAAACCCCGCATTGAGTGTATGAAAATCAACAGTCAACTCGTAATCAAAGATGAATGCCAAAAGCTGGCTGAGCTGGCCGGGGGCACAGAAGTTCTGATTCCCATCAGTTCTAACTTCAAAGGCTCACTGCGCACAGGTGAAGACAAACTTTTGAGGGAGAGAAGCTGGAAACCTTTAAGATGGTATTTTAAAATATTGCCATGTGACTCCAAAAGCCATTACGCTGAGAATAAAGCTTTTATTCTATTCTGGAGGTTATACTGTTACAGAACTACTCAGCAGGCTTGCAGCTTTATGAGTACAGTTGGGTGTAGATTATTTTATATATTAAGCACATTGCTGGAAAATTTGAAATTGCATTTCACCTAATATATTTTATGCTGTTCCATCTCTCTTTTGATGTTTTTCAAAAAATGCTGCTGTGGCATTCCCTGGCGTCCATGTTGCTGGGAGAGCATGAATTCAAGAGCAGTGGGGTGCCAGCCTCTCGGGCAGCACCGTCAACACCTCTTAAATAAGCCGTGGGGAACTGCTTGTTGGAATGATGGAGGCCACATGCTCCCCGATTCCTTCTCCAGGGCACCAGCTTGCACCTCTCTGTCAGGCTGGCAGGTCCCTTTCTGCAGGCATCATATAGGCTATAAACTCAGTGGTCTGCTCCCTCTTTTTTTTTTTAATTAAAAAAACTTTATTTATTTGGCCACGTCGGGTCTTAGTTGCGGCACTCAAGCTCCTTCACTGTGGCCTGATCTGTCTAGTTATGGCAAGAGGGCTTAGTTGTGCCACGGCATGTGGGATCCTGGTTCCCCGACCAGGGATCG